TAGCCGTGTGTGGCGGTAGAAAAAGGTATTTGCGATTATGTTGTTGGTCTTGCAAAATTCTATCATGAGATGTTCAGCTTCTTTTCCATCATCAAGACTATATTTTCCAACTACTGTTACTTCCTCTTTGTTTCCAATGTTTGCATTCTGATCGCCAATAATTATCAATGCATCTTAATTGCATGTTTGATCAGTTTCAGGCAGAAGATATAGGTAACATTCTTCAGTTTCTTCATCACTAGCTTTAGCTGGTGGTTGGTACATAAGTCTGAATCATAGTTGTATTGACTGGATCTTCTTGTAGAGAGACAGACATTATTCTATCACAGGCAGTCTTATACTTCATCAGTCAACATGAACTCAAGAGCGAGAAGTTTGGTTTTGGATTTGGGGGGAAGATTAATAAATGTAATGACTTTTTCAAGGGTTCATGAAGGAGGGGGGAGCAGGAAGGGAGGGGGGAAATGAGGAGCTGATGCCAGGGGCTTACGGGGAGAGCAAATGTTCTGAGAATGATGAGGGTAACGGATGTACAAATGTGCTTTATACAACTGATGTATGTATGGATTGTGATAAGAGTTGTATGAGCCCCCAATAAAATGATAAAAAGAAAAAAAAAAGAAAACCAAGAACGTAATGACTTTTTAAAATTACGTTTTGAGCTGGGCATTTAAGTTGCTGCTTGTATCCTGTTTCTTGGCCTGGGCTTGGCCTCACTTTGAAAAGGGGGCCACGATGGGGACACAGCGGTAGAATTCTCACCCACCATAGAGGAGGCTGGGTTTGATTCCGGCTGAGGCCCCTCGCGCCCGCCAGTACCCTGCAAGTAGAGGCGTGCGTGCGTGCGTGTTGCTATGGCTCTGGTCAGGGTTCTGCAGAGCTCCCAGACTAACATGGACTTGGAAGAAAGTTCTGGAAATTGACTTTTGAAAATAAGCCCCTATGGCTGGAGGGCAGCTAACAGCAACAACAAAGACACGTGGGCTCTTACATGTGTCTGGCATAGGCTCTCCTTCCATCAAAAATTACATTATTGTATTTTCTCTTCTATTATATTCTCGGGGGGAGGGAGATAGAAAGAGGGGGGGAGCCACTCAGAATCCAATAAATTCATTTCACCTCCCACTAATGGATTGCTATCATATTAAAAAATAAAAAAGCTCTATTTTTAAAAAACAGAACAGAAAACCTTTTAGCCTAATCACTCAGTGACATCTGCCATGCTTGCAGTTATGAGGCCCCACCGCCGCCAAGGATGACTTCGCAGCCTTCTGGCTTGCCCATGGTGCAGACATCTCCTGGTGGAGATCCTGACGGGCACAGGCCTCCCTCCCACAGCTCGGTCTCCCTCACTCAGAACCAGACTGGGCAGATAAGGACTCCAACTTTGTTTGATTTGAAGCTTGATTTACTGGTAGAGAAGTTTGCTCCAAATCAGGTGTTTGCATCTATTGACCCTAAAAATCTAGTCCGTTCAGATGTCTCAGTGGTTCAGAGAGCAGATTGTGAAGTTACAACCTTAGGTTTAACATCTGGCTTCACTAGTTACCAGCTGTGTAGCTCTGCGCAAGTCACTGAGCTGGGCATCTGCTCATGGGGCTTGATGTTGTGTTCCTCCCTGGGCTCCTGTGGATGGAACAAGAACAGATACAAAGCTCACTCATAGACTCAACCGCATTGAGCCCATTCTGACTCATGGTGCCCCTGTAGGACAGAGTGGAACTGCCCCACTGAGTTTCCAAGGCTGTACTTTTTACAGAAGCAGGAGGCCACAATGCTTTCCTACAGGGCAGCTGTTGGGTTCAAACTGACTGCTGACTTCAGTTCGCCTTAGAGCACTTCACCACTGAGCCCCAGGGCTCCTTGACCCATATTGAAATGAACAAAAAACAAACCCACTGCCACAGAGTCTACACATAGCAACCGTATAGGACAGAACAGTGTGACCCCATAGGGTTTCTAAGACTGTGAATCTTGACAGGGTCAAACAGCCTCATCATTCTTCCCTGGAGGGCTCTTGGGTTTGAACTGCCCATCCTGTGGTTAGTACCCCAGCACTAACCCACTATACCAACTGGGTAATGGGTTTTACCTTTAGAAAGTCTCCATCAATCTTAGCAATTGTAATTACCGAGGAAATGTTTGGGAGGATGCGACGAGGACTCCTCAGGTCCCTTCCCTCACACCAAGCACCCTCTCGACTTTCTCCCTGGAGGTCAAGTCACAAGGTGGGAAACCTTAGCCAGGTAGTGACTAGAGGTGAGGATGGGGTCCTGCCTGCCCTAGGCCCTCTGCTGGAGAAGGTAGATGCTGTTCACACTGAGCATCCTTTCTCAGTAGGCTGTGGTTTCTAGTGGGAGCCCTAGCTCCATTTTTGAGTCTCCACATAGATTTATTCAGTCTCTGGTGAGCTGCTTCTGACCTTTGAACAAAAAGCCTTGCTCTGAAACAGAGCATATTTGCTGTGACTCCCCCGGCCAGTGCAGGGAGGGGCAGCTTCACTCTCAGGAACTTGCCTGTGTGTGCCCTTGATAGAAATGGGGCACCAGGGTCATGTGGTCAGGAGTCACACCTGAAATGGGAGGGTCCTGAACCCGCTTTTGTAAACTTCCCTTTTCTGCAATACAGTTTGTTGCCCAGTTACGGTCCCTTTCCTGCCTGTATAATCCTGCCTGCGCCTGTGGGGGAATTCATATGCCATCTATCATGATTTTGTGCCGACTTCCCTTGTTTTTTCATGATACAATGTAGCCACTGGGTCAAATGCAGATGCTATGAAGATGTATGCTCCCCACAACCAGATAACCAGATAATTCCTTTTTTTTTTTTTGACCTGTGTTGTCTTTGTCCTAAGACATAAAAATAGGTTCTCTAGAAAAATATTTGAAATCGATATATATTTGAATCTGGGGTCTTCTTCATCCCTCAAAATCACCTCTCCCTGATTAGAATCTGTGGCTGCAGGAGAAACGCAGCCTTTACATACCATGTTATCAAATGATTTTGTCCCGCCTCCCTCACAGGGAAAGGCTCCAGCCCAAGCCCCGCCCACCCCACGCAGACTGGGCTCTCCTTGGGTTTGGGGAGCCCATTCCCTCTGGTTGCCTGCTTGTGGCCTTCTGGTCAGGGTACGTGGGCAGGAGAAGAGGACTGCACTTTGGGGGCCTGGTGGTGCACTGGTTTTGCATTGGGCTGCGATTCCCCAAGGTCGGCAGTTCAAAACCACCAGCAGCTCTGCGAGAGAAAGACTGGGCTTTCTACCCCTGTTTACAGTCTCTGAAACCCGGTGTGATCCTCAGGACAGTTCCGCCCGGAATTGCTTTATGATACCTATTTCTTTCAGAGGATGTCAAGTCAGGAGCGGGGTCCTTCGGCCCTGAGCTTGTGTATTCTGAACCCACAGTCCCGGGCTGCCCCGGCGGCCTAAGCTGCTGTAGGCGATGCCACTGGGACCCAGAGCCCTGGGCTTTCTCCTTTGGCTGCGGGCAGGGCTGGCTCCGCTTTCCTTGTGCACAGCGCGCTGCAGACTGGGCCGCCGGCAGCCAGCGCACCCGCCGCCGTGCGCAGCCCAGGAGCTCCCTCCCCGCGTCGCGACGGGCAACCGCGCCCGATCCCCTGCGGGGCGGTTGTCCTCCGCCCGGAGGGCCGTTCGGAGTCAGAAGTGACCCGGTGGCACTTGCTTGGTTTTTCCCTCCCTTCGTCTGGGACCGTTTCTACTTTCCTGGCACCAAGGGGAAGAATGCTGAGTGCAGCCCCTCTCCTTCACGCCCCATCTCTCCCCTGGCGCTGACGCAGATAGGTTAGGACGAGACGCCAGCCTGCAGTGACACGCTGGATAGGACATTGGGAACTTTCCAGCCCTACCTCCTTGTTCTAGAAACGCAGCAACTGAGGCCAGGTGAAAGTGACCTTTTACACGGTCACTCAGAAGTCATTCTCTGAAGAGCTGCCAACGAAGGAGACTCCCATTCTAGTGCTTTGGCATGACCAGTCTCCGTTGGCTTCGTGGACCTTCGCTCCCTTCTAAGGCACCGCAAAAAGCCACATGCGGGGCCACAGAGAGGCGGGTGCCTAGAGGGAGAACAGAACGCGCGGGGGCGGGGACGGGGGCGGGGAGTCGATCCGCTCCGGGCTCTTTAAGTGGGCGGGCCGA